GACCAGGCTATCATCCACCCGGCAAGCTCTAGCTTCCTCAGGATCTGTTAGATGGGGTAGTCGGTTTTGACGACTACTTGGTGACTTTGGAAGTAAGGTCGGAGGCGTCTGGCTGCCGTGACGAGGGCCAGTGCGAGCTTCTCAATGGTTTGGTACCTCTTATCCGTGTCTTGGAGGACTCAGCTGATGAAGTATACCGGCATCTGCGTTTTTTGGTTCTCCTGCACTATGACCGTGCTGATTGCATTTTCTGCTACTGCCAGATAGAGGAGGAGGTCGGTCTTGTGATCTGGCCTCTGAAGAACTGGTGGGGTGGCAAGGAAAGTTTTGAAGCTTTTGAAAGCCTCCTCGCACTAGTCCGTCCACTCAAAATTCTTTGGTTTCCGTAGTAGGGTGAAGATGGGCCCTGCCTTGTCTGCCAACCTGGGGATGAAACGGGAAAGGGAGACCAACCTTCCTGCCAGACGCTGGACATCTTTCACGGTCTGGGGGCTCTGCATTTGAATGATGGCTTGACACTTTTCTGGGTTGGCCTCGATCCCCCTGCTGGTGATCATGAAAACAAGGAAGTTACCTCCCTAGACGCCGAAGACGCATTTTTCTGGATTGAGATGGATGTTGTGTCTCCTGATCTGGCCGTACACCTCGGCGAGGTCGGCAGCATGACCCCCGGCCGAGGTGGTTTTGACCACCATGTCGTCGACGTAGACTTCGATGTTCCTTCTGATCTGTTGGTGGAAAACCTTGTCCATTAGTCGCTGGTAAGTGGCTCCTACGTTTTTGAGACCGAATGGCATCACTCGGTAGCAGTAATTGGCGTGGTCGGTGATGAAGGACGTGTGCACCTCGTCAGGTGGGTACATCATTATCTGGTTATACCCGGAGTAGGCATCGAGGAAACTGAGGAGGGCGTGCCTGGACACTCCGTCGACCAGCCTGTCAATGCTCGGTAAGGGGTATGAGTCTTTGGTTTTATTAAAAAATTTATTAAATATTATTACATAAAATTTATTAGTAAAAATATTACATTAAATACAGTTAATATTATATAATCATACTAATTTATTATTTTAAAATATGTTAATAATAATCTAAGAGATTAAAATAAATTTTTTAAAAACTATAAAGATGAAAAATAATAATTTTAAATTTAAAGATTAAAAATAAATTTATCTTAAATATAAGGATTAAAAATATATTTAAACTTATATTTTATTTATTATCTGCTTTCGGTTAATAAAATTATATATAAATGGATGTCTTGTTACAATAAGTCATTTTCCCTTTTAAACGCTTGTGGTGAAGCTCATGTATCCAGAGTCTAGAAGTAGACTACAGAATCACATTTATGCATCAACAGTAAGGAAATTTTGCATTCTTATGTAAGTGTGACTCATCCTGCAGTACGACCCATTTTGTTTTTTATGTTATCATGTGTGTCGTCCCAGTCTTGTCCCCGTTACTTGAGGAAAATCTTTTTTTTTTATTTACATTTTTTTTCTCTGTAAGAACGATAAAAAAGATAATTAAGAGATCGTCTTTAATCTTACACTAGTTGGAAACTTAAGCATAAGTTATTGGTCTCGTTTTGTTTAAGAAGTGATTCAATAAACCACAGATTTTTAATCTTATACAATGTCTATCTTCTCGGTCTTCTCGTTCCTATCCGAGTAGTCCGATGTGAGGGGGGGTGTGCCTGCAACGACATCTCCAACGCTCAAGTAAGTGCTCGGCGTAATAAATGCGGTAGTTGAAAGTTAGTTACGTACCTCGCTGGGGTCCTATTTATAGTGATTCTTATTGGGCCCGATTAAGGACTGGGCCCCGGGAAATTAGGGGCTAATCCGGTGCATTACATAAATTAACCTCTCCATAATTATCCTGGCGTAAATCCGTGACTTGGCCGAGCACACCGACACGTTCCGTTCAGATTGTGAGTGGTCGGTGGGCTCGGGTATTCGACCTAGTCGTCCACGAACTCGGGTATTCGGCCTAGTCGGCCACGAACTCGGGTATTCGGCCTAGTC